AGTACTACCATTCAAACCTTGGCCAATAAACGAAGGAATGCGTTAAAACTGTGTGAAGAACATATTAGAACAAGGCATGTGTGCGTGCTCCGATAAGCGTCCTTTTTAATATTGTGAAACTCTTGTATGAACTCTGGGTGACCCTAAGTTTGGAAACGTGATGGGTGTGGCTTGATTACAAATGGTTTCTCTTGACCTTGAATACAAATTACGACAGTCTATGTTCTGTGGAAATATAATTATTTAGAACGTACGAGATTGATCGAGATATGGATAAAATGCCGAACCTATTTTTTGGAAAAGTCTCTGAAAAAGACTATACATCCACCTATCGACACAGGAAGGGAGGAGACAGAGATGAGCTGATAGAGACTTGATATTAAGATACTCGACAAAGATTTGCACATTAATATGCACTCTGCGTGTGTGTACCTTTTCAACATTGTACGTGTACAAGTACTTTGATGTACTGTAAGTCAATAGTCTTAGTTTTAATCTTTTTGATTGTGTAATTTTAAATTACCTCAATAAATTATTATTTGTAAGTACTCCTAGGTTGGGTATCGTTTTTTTATTACTGTATTTAATTAATGATATCGTCTTTTATAATGGACTGTTGGATACGAGCCATAGAGTAAAATAAGAGATCGCATTCTCTGTATTATAGATGTATGTAACAGTAAGCTGAAATAGAAGGACAGGTTGACACAAGAAGAAAGTTTCGGCTTAATCTTCTGGCAATAACAATGGCGAAAACATAATTTTGTTTAAACTCGTTTCTATGTCTTGTGTTTTTTTTTCCATCAACCCTGTCTGCTGAAGAGCTATACCATTTGTACAAAGACACACCCACCGTAGTCGCAACAATAAAAAAAGGCAGACTGCGATGGACATAAAATATTTAAGGGATCCGGAATGTAGAGCAGCAAAAGTTATATATAGGCAGAAACTTAGAGGCAGACGACTCATCGGTCACCCAAGGCTGAGATGGATAGACGATGTGGAGAATGATTTACACCAGTTGGGGCTCACGCATTGAGAAGCAAAGCTATATATCGTTCTGAAATAAAGGATGTGATGGAGTAGACCTGGGCTTTGCATGTGCTGTAGCCACACTGATGATGATGATAACTGTCTGCTGAAGAAGGCTTAGTCTTGAATGTCACTTTTTTACTTTCGCATAGTTTCTGGATACCAATCGAAAAGAAAATTTTACATCTATACCTCTTCACAAACTTAACATATTGATGTTGTGGTTTAAAAAAAAATAAAAAAAAAAAAAAAAAAAAAAAAAAAAAAAAAAATTAACTTGGAAAAAAAAAAACAAAAAAAAAAATAAAAAAAAAAAAAAAAAAAAAAAAAAAAATAAAAAAAAAAAATTTACATCTATACCTCTTCAAAAACTTAACATATTGAAGTTGTGGTTTAAAAAAAAAAAAAAAAAAAAAAAAAAAAACAAAAAAAAAAACAACTTCACTTGGATACAAGGAAGCCAAATTAAAATTTAATACAATAGTGACGATGGGAATGAATTTCACAAGTCAAAAGTTGTTTTGTCATAAATTTTAAAAAGTAATCTGATAAATATCTTTAAAAATAAAACCAAAAAATACAACAAAAAACTTGTTTTATTTTTATTCTGAAATGAGATTTAAGATTGTCTACACAAGTCGTCAAAAACATGATCCACACAATTTTTGGATAAAATAATTTTTTTTTTTTTTTTTTTTAAATTCCATTGCGAATTAGCTGTCTACAGATTTGTTAAAGGCCCATAATTTTAAGCCGTCAAATATTCTTAGTAGGAATAAGGAGGCATGTTAAGCAAAAACAAATTAATTACATGGAAGAGAGAGGGGGACAAAATATTTCATTTTTAACTTGATTCTTAGTAAATCCTTTCAAGAAGTTTTATCTGGATTATACACGTTATATTAAGATTAACCGAGCGTAACATTAAATGCCTTAAAGATGTCACAAATGACGTTGGTGTTTGACCCAGTGGTCCATGTGGTCCTCCTTGACCTGCCTCATTTTTTGTCTCGGGTTGATCCTGTAGTATAGGCCAAAACGTGCCAAAGTGTACTCGTTTGTAGCCATTTTAATTGTTTCTATAGTATAGAAGTTACTATCCTAGTGTCTCTGGTTTTTCATTTTTATTTTACTTAGTTTACATGTTTTTAATAATTATAAAGCACTTAGAGCTTAAAGGTAAGCGCTATATAAAAATGCCTAAATAAATAAATAAATAATTGATTAAATTTTGAAAACACCTACATGTTGGTAATGAACGTCACTTTAGTTTAAACATTAGAGATAATAGTGGGAATAGGTATCATAAAAAGTTAAAGTGAAAGATTTGATAAGTTTTTTGGAAACTTTAAATTGTTATGACAACCGTTGGCAGTATTTGATTAATTATGACAGAGGGCCCACTTCCGATTTAGATATCTAATAATAAAGGGGTAGACACAAGATAAAGTTGACCAGGCGTTTTAATCTGTTTGAGAAATTGTTAGTATTAGCCATTCAAAAATTGATTTGTCGAGAATAGTGTATAGTATCACCACGGATAAAATCAAGGTTACGATTTTGAAGTTGTAGCTAAAATTAGTGAGAGTAAAATGTTAGAGATTTAGTTATCGACATTATATCATACAATATGTTATTTTGTATTAACTATATTAACTATTGAGATGTGTACTAACTGAGTCGTGTGTCATTGTCTGTTTGAGCACCTTGATAAACATAATGTAAATTAAAGTAAGGTTTTGTTTTGTACTGATAACTACCACATCGAAATAAGTCGATACGTATACAGACAGATCCCTTTGTTGATATTCATTTTCATCTCAAATGGTACACTAAGTCGTGAAATCTGAACCGCAAGAAAAGATAAATACTGCATAAAGTGAACATTCTTTAAATAGCGTATCAACTGTAACAAACTATAATAAAGTCATCACCCAAACAATATTGCAAAGGTTATATATTATTGACAATACAATATATCTTTTTATACCTGGACCAACTTTGTGCAAGTAAAAAATATTATTTACTTTTAAAAATAGTATTTTATAGCATCAGGTTGGCTACCAGCATTGGCAAATGATATGGGTCTATGAAGCAGCTAGCTAACAAGGCAAAGGGTAAATCCTATACTACAAACACGAAGACTTAAGAATAACAACTTGGTGACTTTATCTTTAAATTTACTATTCCACGAACGCACACAGACGATATAATATCTGAAAAATGCTGTACGACTTACGAATTGTTTTAATTGTATTTCTTTGAAACTTGCATTTGCTTGTTAAGTATTCTAGTAACACTGTCACACGTGGAACACTAAGACTAATCATAAATGCATATACAATATAACAAATTGAAGTGTTGCTGTGTGCAATCTCAATGCGTGGATTTATATCAATTTTCAGTTGATCAGGCTTTTTATTTGACATGATTCAAATACTAGGTTACACTTCTTTTTTCTGTTTAGGACACACATCGGAGCGCTGAATTTTTGTGTCGATTTTTTTTTAATTTACAGCCCCTTGACGCCTTAGTCCCATTTGCTTTTGAGAAGCTAAGAATGTGAAACTTTTTATAACTTGTTGGATATTGGCTGATCATGCAAAGTATTTTACTTATCATTAAAACTTTTTGTGCAAGTTAATAATAAACGCTTTAGGTCAGTGGTTCTCAAACTTCCTAAAGCCACGATCCTATAATAAAGTTCATTATTTTGTGGTACTCCTAACCATGAAATTATTTTCGTTACTCATAAATATGTGTTTTCATTTTGTTCTTAGAGACACCTGTGTAAAGGTCGCTTAACACCAAAGGAGTCGCGGCCAACAGGCTGAGAACCGCTGATATATACCTACACGAAAAGGAGGCCAAAGTTTTATACCACAAAATGTATGTTGTGACCGTGTCGTATCCTGTAGTTTAGGAACAAAAAATGTTGGGCGTTCATTTATGGCTGGTGTTTGGCTTATGCAAGGTAGCTAAAATAAAAGGTAGAAAACCCAGTTGTGTCGATGTCTGTATGCGTGCATGCGTGCGTGCGTGTTTGTGCTTGCGTGTGTGTGTATGTATGGCTTCATTCTAGAACCTAAGTTGTTCGCCCGACTAATATCAATACCCACATAGCAGTGTGAAGAGAGTGTGTAGTCTGACTTAAATTCTTGTAATAAATCTCATTGAAAAGGTAATTACTGACATTCGTATTATAATGTTTTAGATAAACATGGAATCATCGATAATGCATGGTCACCTACACAAATATACAGTTAAAATGAATGTGAACATTTGAAAAGAAAACGGCACTGTCTATTTCTCAATTCATATACGATTGGAGTTTTTAAAATGCATTGTAAGTTCATTTATTAAATAGAAGAAATTTTAATCAGGCCTGTCTCTGTAATTGATGTAAATAGTATGCTGACAGAAGCACGTTCAATAATTTTAAACTAGTTTGTAAACAAATTAAACATATCAGAAATGCCTCCAAAGAATGTAATGATAAGAACGAATGGAATTGTTTTCTGAATATGATAATCAAACCCCCCCGATAAATGAATGAATGAAATTAGTGCCTAACGAATAATTTAAAAAAAAAAATAACAACATAATATGTTACAATTTAATAAACAAAATCATTAAACTAGGGTTTATAATCTGACTATTTCGTGTAGCGTTATAATCTAAGCTTTTTTTCAATTATTTGTAATTAAGCATATGAAATCTTAATTACATTATTTTCAGCGTATTTCAGAAAAAAAAGAAGACATGCTGAACATAGCGAATATTTGGATTCTTGCAACAACTATTATATGTAAGAGGTCAACTTGCTCTTTAATTTTATAAAATATACAGCTATTAAATGAAGACATAATTCTGTCATGAGTTGTTTCCCTCGCTGTAACGTACTTTTTCAGAATTTAAGAACGATTTTTTATTTTTGCATTGACTATATTATTGTAATAACCTTTCAGCATTTTTGCAAGGCCAAGAAATTAAAATCTTTAAGATCCGACAGGAAGATTGCAATACAAAGTGCTCGGATGGACTATTAAATGAAGGTGACACTTTTCCACTAAACACAACAGTGACATTACCAAAAGAGCTGCTAAATGACACAGTTGTAATCTTTGAGATAAAGCCTAAATTAAGCACATCATTTGAATACGTACGTTTACACATGATAATACACAGGTCTACTAAAAAAATAAAAATAATTGTTTTAAATTATATATTGTTAATCTAATAATTAAGATAATATATTATTTAATATTGTGAGAAATATTACACGGCATTCTAATTTTTAAAAATATAATTAAATGAACAATTTGAATGATTTAAGTTTAAACGTAAACAAATCATTTTCTAGAAGTGTATTTTGATGTTGTAGTCGGCATTTAACATGTTGACATCATAAATGATCTTTTAAAATTTGATAAAAACAATTTATTCTTAAAATTTAAAACATATATCTGATATACGCTTCCTTCTACTTCATACCTTAAAAAATGAGCAAATATTAACATTTTTATCCAGTTTTTTTCGGTAAATATAACATCTGATTGCACCAAAATGAAAAAGCCTGAAAGAAGCTACCACTGTTCTGAGATCGCTGACAATGCCTTTAATATTTATATTACTTCAAGGGCGGTAACTAAATTTAGCGAAGCCACAATTCGAGCTAAAATACAACACCACAACATTACAATACCTCACTCTGAGCAGAATTTACCAATCATCTGTGGTGCGTATTTGTCTTATTACTTATTACGTAGAATTCACATACAACTATTTTGTTCTAGCGTTTAAACCTGATTAATTTTGCTTTCAAAAATTGTAATGTTCTTTTATGAATATTTTTAAAAAATTATGTCATTAAAATAAAAAAATAATAATAATAGATAATGACTTATTTAATTTGCAGTTGCATAATTAATTTTTTAATGGATTCTCAAATATCTTTTTTTTCAGAACGTACACGCGTGGCTGGTTTTTTAACAATAAATGGCGAAAATGTAACCCATTTAAATAATTGTACCGTGTCAACAAATGACAACTATTTGCATTTAGAATTCGAATGTATTGGCCCGGCGAAGCCGTGTGTTATAGAAATAACTTCTTCTGCTTCAAATGAGAAAAAACTGGGAGAAAATAGAGTTGTCCTTAAATGGTTGCTACTTGAAGATACTCAAATAGAAATCAGACATGCCCTTTGTAGTTTTGAGAATGGCATGAACCTTATTGCGTGTAAAGTCATCAAAGGTATGAATTTTGCAATAGTTATTTTAAGTTTTATTTCTTTAATTTGGACATTCCAAATTATACCGAGTGGACTGGTCTAATAGATGAACCTAAATAAAATTGAAATAGTCTTTTAGTTAATTTTACTAAGTGTCCTCACCTGTTGCATAGTTTGTGTAGTTACCTCGATGTTTATTGTATTTAAAATAATCGTTTGTGAGCATAATTGTAAGAGTTCAAATAAAAATACGTAATGATATTTCAACTGTTGGTTGTAGTTTTCAAAGTTTATATATAAGAATATATATTATTTTTTTAGGAAAAAATAACTCCATAAAACAACTTATGTGCGTCTTGCTGTAGACGTTTACTTACTTTGTGAATGTTATAAATCATTTAGTGTAGTTTAAGAAATAAACAATAATTAGTATAACAAGCTCCTATTTGACTGCTATGGATGTTAACGGATTATATTTTTAAATGGAAAATAAAATGAGTTTTATTTAAGATGTCTTAATGTATATACACACCCATTGCGGTTAAGAACTATCTTTAGCATAATTAAAAAATAATAATAATAATAATAATAAAGATCCCAAGAAGCCATAAAAAAATAACCAACCCCCCCAAAAAAAAAAAAAAAAAAAAAATTAAAAAAAAAAAAAAAAAAAAAAAAAAAAAAAAAAAAAAAACAAAAAAAACAAAAAAAAAAAACCCCCCCCCCCAAAAAAAAAAAAAAAAAAAATTTTAAAAAAAGAAAGAAAAAATATTACATTTTTATGGTTCTTCATTCTCAATGTATGTAAATCATTTTAAACTAACAATATATTAACTACATGGATATATTCAATGATAGATAATGTAAAATGTGAACCATTTTTTAAATACAAACATGACGTATACACAAAAGTATTGGAGCAGATATACCTTTAACAATAGAAATGTTATACGCCCGTTTTTAGTATTTATGTCTTTTCTTATCCAAAGGTGTCGGCAGTTATCAAAGAATAACCTTGATAATAACTCTATCGACTTTTTTACTATTATAATATTAGCCATCACGCTTACTTCATACAGGTATTTATATTAATTCAAATTCAAATTCATTCAACATATCATCTAACTACCTTCAAAAATCTACATACCTTTACACTTAACTATCTAACTTCGTTGCTATCTAATCATATAGCCATCTATTAATATAAAGATATATTCATCTACATAATTACATATCTACTCATCTATTTATTTATCCATTCATCCATTAAATTTTAGCATCTCCAAAGGCAAAAATCATTGTAACCCATAAGATTCACACTTTTTGTTTATATTTAATTAATGTTACAAAATGTTTACAGCGTATGGATATTTAAATTTGCCAAGCAGGAAAAAGGTTAGTAATGATAACATTTTTTTAAATGTTTGTTTTACAATTACTTTGTAGTTCATTTAAAACACTAAGTAGACATCTAGGTTTAAATGCCAATTAATACGTCACAACAATAAAACAAATTGTAAACATTGGTACGCCGATTATTCGAAACGTAATGTAAGCAAAATTTCACTGTCATGTAAAAAATACGATACGTATAGTATGCAGCTTATATACACGTCTGGAAACATTTCTGCCGCACAATCCAAGAGAGACGATATATGTACTGCCAAAATCGGATACTGAGATCCGAAAACTTGTATATTGAAATAAATCGCAGACCATGCACTAATAATGTCAAAAAGATATTGAAAAAGAAACGTTGATTTATTAGTTTAGTTTACGTTACATACTGGCGATGTGTACACAAAATGACATGATGTTAAGATTTAAATTCTTACGCTCATTTATATGAATCTACACAATGAATAAATAATATCGAACAAAATGTATTTAAAAAAATTTATAAAAGGAAGATTTAAAAAAAAAAGATTGATATGCTTTGGTCACATTTAATTGTAAGACATCAAAAAAGTATTTCAAGAGGTTTTATATATGTTAATAATTTTAAGGAGGACATTATTTTATTGACAGGAAATGATGAAGAAAAAAGTTCGGACCAATCTACCCCCTTAAAAAGCGAAAGGTATATTTAATAACAATGTTAATATTACGAGATAATTAATTTATTAAATAAATTATCAAACAATTTATAGACATCATTAAAAGAAGTAACTATAAAATGACTTAACAATGAGAAGAATCTAACAAAGTTGGGTTAAAACAGTCGCACGGATTATGAATATTTAATAAGCATGTTGTGGTTTCTACTAAATATAATGATAACATTTAACATAAGAGGAGTCATTACAAACGTTGTCGTGGCCAAATTGTGTACAGAGAATGTGACAATGAAACTCTAGATAACAATAACAAGGTAAGTAAATATTTGCTCTTCTTGCATCACTATTTCTTATTACATTGGTATGCTGAGTAAAATTAAACATATTCTTAAAACTGTTCACTAAGTTATTGCATTTCCTCAATTAAATCATTTGACAAACTATTTTTAGAGATGCGATTTGGAATATGTGATGGTAGGTAAACTGTTTAATCCAAGACTCGGCACTTCTAAATTTTCAACAGAACATTCAAACACCTACCACCAGCCTTTATTTTCATAGAGAAACAATTTTAATTAAATAAAGTCTAATTACGTATGCTTAATAAGTTGGTTATTAATATGATTAAAGACACATAAACACTTTAATTACACTGGGAATTATCACATTGTTATGTTTTATTCATCTTGCATGTTTATTTTAAATACAATAAGAATATTGTTTGTTACATAAAAATACAAAAGAAAACGGTTAAAACATTACAAACCCAAACTGAGATTTTAACAATTGCCCAAAATTTATAAAATGTGTAGTTTTAAAAAATTGTATGAAAGCTTTATAGTTCCTCATTAAAATATAAGCTTGAGAAATAAGCTAAAAATAACATGCCTTTTAAAGATATATATATATATATATATATTTATATATGCATTTATACATACATTTATATATATATATAATAATAATAATAATAAAGTTCATTTCAAAAACACGCTTCATCCCCAAAGGCTCGAAGCGCGGTACAAAGTTAACAACAACAAAAAAAAAACAAAAAACAATAGTCCACAAACAGAAGCTCGTTGATGGTGCTAAGTTTCACCTTGGTTTAAACTTGAAGCCTCTTATGGTTGAAGAATGATCCATCGGTGCGAAACAGGATTTGCAAGCCTGTTGTGGAGTCTTTGATCGCATCAGACAGCATTGCAGAATAAATAATACTGAAGAGAGTGGGAGCAAGGACATAGCCTTGCTTCACCCCGTTTGTGACGGGGAATTTTGATATGACTGACGTTGTCCTGCACTTGGGCCACAATGCAGCTGACGGATGATGTTGGTGAACTCGTCTGGACATCCGTACTTATTTATGATTTTCCACAGGCCAACTCTATTAACCCTGTAAAAAGCCTTTTTCAAGTAAATAAATGTGGAATATAGGTCAATATTTTGAACATATTCATTATTTTTCGGAAGGTACTTTTAAGGATTGATGCATTTTTTATAACAATTAGTTTGGGGCCGGGGGCCCAAAATTCGTTTTTTTTTTCTTCTAATTTAAGCTATATAAATAAAATTTACTACAAACACTCCTTCATCAATGGATGGATCTTGACCAAACTTATATAATATACACTTGATTAACCATATTCAAATTCTGGAGGTCACTGAACTCATAACATCCATTCCTCTGTAGCCGAGGGCACTATTTTATGTTTCCTAATATGTGCTATATAAATATCAATAAGCTTAATACTCTACAAGAATGGATGGAACATGACAAAACTTACTACACATACACATGATCCTCCATATTCAAATACCGAAGGGTACTGAACTCATAATATCCATTTCTCTGGGGCCGGGGGCCCCAGTTTATTTTTCCTTATATATAATGAATAGAATGTATATCAATAGGGTTAGATAACGATGTATGTTCTATGTGATTTTAAGGATCTAGGCATAGCTTTGTTCAATACGCTTCTTAGTCCGTATTAAAATATCGGTGGATTTAAAACTAATAATATCCAATCTAGTGCGATAATTTTAAAAAGTTACATCTATGGCATTTTAAAATTGATTTTGATGGGAGCAATTTTAAATTTTAATTCTATAATTTATTTAAATGATTTTTATAGCCCCCCCCCCCTTTTTCAGACATAATTAAAAAGGTACAATATTAAATATGCCCCAACCGGGCCCCAATTTTAATTTAAATGTACTATAGTTATAGTACTACAAATAATTTTTATCAGTCATAACTAAAACAGTACTTTATTAAATGTCCCCCCACCGGGACCCCTATTTTAATTTAAATGTACTATAGATATAACAGTGCAAATTAGTTGTAAACTATTTCATATTTGAACAATAATTACGTAGAAAAGTAATTTTTACAAGTGTCATTGAGGATATTAAATTAAATTTAGAATCTTCCAGACGGTTCTATATTGTTCTAAGGAGTTATATAACCGGATCTAAAAGCTTATTCGAAAAAAATTGCACTTAGAATGATCTCATAGATGAATGAGATCCTAATGTGGAGCGAAATACATTAGTAAACTGGAACCCATCTGTAACGCGATTCCATCGGTTAACTGGATCAAACCGGATCGGGATCCTATCGGGAAACGAGATAAAATTAGAAAAGAGGTTTCCTAGATGAAACGGGATCCCATACAGAACGGTATCCCACCGGGATCGATAGCCAATCGCGCTCCACCAAAATAGGGATCATATGGGAATCGAGATACCGACGGGATCGGGATCCCATCGGGATTGTAATCACACCTGGTAACGGGATTGCGCCGGGATGGGCGTCAAAATGGGATTTGGGTCCCATTGAGATCGGTTTCCCACCAAGTTAAGGGTCATAATGCAATGCCGGCCACGAGGGGTATATCGGCTAGTTAAACATAAACTTTACGTGTATGCCAGTATCCAATTAGCCATTGCATATCATTGCATGTTGTAGTGCTCGGGATTTAGACAGACATCAATACATTGAGTCTTAAT